AAAAAAAAACTGACTTTAAAATATTTAATTTAGATTGAAATTTGATTTTAATCGTTCTCCATTGATTTCATTCTGAGTTTTTGTCAAAATTTTCTTGCATGGATTTTGTATCTTCTGATTGATAACAATCAAGATTCTTGATTATGCGAATCAGAGGTCGAATCGAACTGATTTTTACTAGATCGGTATCGTTCAAGTGTATTTAAAAAAAAACGGTTCTGGCTGTGCTCAGTCGATTTGGTATCAGTCTCTGATGCAAAACAATCGATCAAACATCGTTTGATGATTGTCCACAACATTACAAAGTAACGAAATAGATGATAGCTCTAGTAATTATTTTCATATGTATTTGTCTACATTCATTCGCTTTTTAAAAATTAGTTCAGGTTCGGTTCGTTTTAGGTCTCTGATGCAAACATTCTGGAAGTTTTATTTAAGTCAATAAATAAAAGTAGACCATGTATTCAATTCAACAACGTTTCTCATCCACAATCAAGACGCAAGTGTACTGCCGACTGCATTAAGTGATATGAATGTAATGAAATAGAATAGTATTAACTGTGCAACTAAAAGTAGCTACCCATTTGACTCTTTGAAACTGATCAGCAAGTGTCAGTGTGAGCTGTGGCTGAAGAGAAGATGAGTACCCACACCCTTTTTTATACTTCCCCTGGATGTATGCATCAAACGTCGTCATTTTCCGTCGCGATTATCTCGATCACGAAAACTCAGAAAATACTCATTCAGACGAGAGGATTAAAAAAAATATCATGCTCAAATCGATACCATTTGTTTGCTAATCTTCAATCACATGTTCCATTTGCTCACAGAAAGCTATCCAAAAAAGGCAAGTTTTTGTGGACTTCGTTTTGTTTTTCGAACTTCGAGATAATTAAAACAATGATAGCAACAAAAGTTAGTCGCCACTTTCTTCGTTTATATCTAAGATAACTGTAAATACATCGTATGATAGATATTGAATCAGAATGAGAATCAAGCGATTAATGATTGATCGTCATTAGTAACATGTTAATACCTGTTATTTGAATTCTCTGAGTCATAAATTTCGCTATGACTACCTTTGACTTTCATTTTGAGTTTGAATAGCTGATTGGTCGAAATGTAACCCTTCTGATTTACAACGAAAAAGAAACTCTGATTTGGGTCATGTATTTTTCGTTGTATGGTCAATGATTATCGTTCATTTATGAGCAGCTGAAAAATAATATTGAAAAACTGAAACTATTCGAGTTCTTTTTTTTATTCGCTAAATTATATTATAGTACATAGGTTATTCCAATTTTTCCCTTACTATTCGTCGTTGATATATCAATGAATAGTGATGAAAAACAAAAAAATGAAGAAAGGAACGTAGTAAGAACAAAGAGAAGGGAAGAATGAGAGACTTGAAGATGAAATCATTATCTTCTTTGAAAATAAAGGCATAAGAAAAATGTTTATTAGGTTATTTAGGAGCGGCAAGTGAATGATGGCACATTGATACTTCATATGAGCGTACCTTATTTATGAGTACAGATATTAGTAACAGTTCTAATTCATTGAAAGTCATGAGCAATATTTAAAATTATGTTGTTTAGTAATTATAATGAAATTAGCTCTGAACAAGGCTAACAATGATTGCTATGGTCATAAGTTATGACTTTAGTTAAAAGTTACAACTCTTGCTTCTTTTAACCGATTTATACTATTATGAAACTCTTCAAGATTCAGTTTAAATTCGAAACTGTACATGTTTGATATCTATTTTCTTAATAAAAGATGATTGTAATTTCTGCGTTTTGTTTATAGCTGTCAAAGTCATGGTAAAGCCTTATTGGTACATACTAAAGAATACATAGTCTCAGTCTTGCTCTACGTGTAAACATAAGTAAACATATGTTTTCGATGAACATATAAGATAAACATCTAGAGAAGAATTTATAAATGCTGATTTACTGAAGAATCTGTAAGACTTTATTATGTGATATTACATAATAATCGCTTATGAAGTAATTAGGTATAATCTCGTTTTTCTTTATTTGATATTGCAACGTATTGATTGCGACATAATAGAAGAAACTTTGAATTCTAAAAGAAACTTTATTTATTAATATAATTGCTCTCTGCTCTCAAGTCATTTTCTACGTAATACTTTGATATAAGTAGAAACTCAGAGTATTATTTATATCTAAGAATAAAATTTTACCTAATAATGTTTAAACATGACAATAAAAAGGAAGAACTTGTTATATTTGGTCATCCAAAGAGAAGTAACGGTACAATAAGAAATAGTAATTGTTCATTTACAAAAAATATTTAACTATCGTAAACGTTAATAAACTAGTTGACTTTTTGTTTGAGATAAAAAAATAATAATAAAGCAATAATTTAGAATACTTGAACACTCGATACTTTATTATTCGAGATATAAGATGTTGATCTAAACACTTCAACAAAAAACTTGTTATTCATCAATGCATTTATTCAACAGATTCAAAATATATATCATATTACAATTTATATTATACATTTTTCTTTTTCATTTCACCTTCATGCTTACATATATTAAAATGTGTGAGAGATGTCTCACAATCATAATGTCACCATTTCATTATAAAGCATTTTTTTCATTCTATCATTTTCTCTCAAGTATATGCTTGTCTATTTCATGGTTTTTCTTTCATTTCGTCATTTCATTACCTATGAAGCAATCAAAAGTAGATACAATGCTTCGTTTGTCTTGCAGTCCATCACTCAATAGGAAGTTTCATCTGTTTTTTTTCGTAGTGATAGGTTGAAAAGTAAATTTTTATTGAGTTTATTTTTTATCAAACTTTACTATCATTAAAGCGGAAGCAGCGAAAAAGGTAAGTTGTCATACTTTTCGAGCAACTGATTTTATATATGATAGTTATTCATACAGTTGATGAGAGATAACGAATCAAACATCCACATTGACGAATACGGAGCGCATATTTAGCTGTAAGCGACTATATTGTACCATATTACATAACTCAGAATTGCGATCGTACACCTCTCTGTTCGTTAACGTAGCAATATGATTTTAAAGGGAGACACATGGAGCGGAACGGAGACACCATATACAACTGCGGTGTACAATCATCGTAAGCGAGCATTTTTTGTTCGTAAATCAAGGCATTTCTTTATACATTAAACAGAGTTGTACAATCATAATACTAAACCTTATATATCATGATATTTCTCCCAATATCGTCGTTTACAACCTTTTCTGTTTAACATTGGAATAGAATCAAACGATCAATAGATAGTGTTTACTAGATATACATTGATATGGGTTATTAGAGTTTACTTAATAATGAATACTGCAGTGACTACTTTTCAGTTTCTTTCTGACTTTGATTAGCTGATTCATCTAAGCGTAACGTTTTCGGTTAGAGTGACAGAAAAGACAACTGATATCAATAAGCCTCAAATATCATTTTGGAGAAAAGTATTTCGTATTCAATCATATAAATGATGGTTAGTTATGGTGCGAAACACCTATATAATGATTTGTTTAATCTTTCATTCTTGATATCATTGCAAATCAAGATAGCAAATCTTAATGCATACATCTAGAAGGAAAGAGAAATACCTAGATGGCATTCGAGTTTCATTCGACTGTTGAAAACACCGATATCTTCTTCTAGAAAAACGAATAATCGTTTGTACGATTTGAATACAAAACGTTTTTCTCCAAATGATATTTATGTTTCGATTAATCAGTTGATTGCAGTCACGAAAATCTTGTAAATTAGTCATTGCAAAATTCATTACTAACAGAACACTATTAATAGATATCAATATATTAATATCGATTGATCTTTTGATTCTTTCTTTCTCTCTCCCTAATTTATTATCATTTGAATGAAGATTTTCTGACTTTTCGTTCTCGAGATCATCGCAACGGACTAAATAAATGCTATACTTCGTACTGCATTAAAGAAAAAAAAAGAAAACTCATGATGAATTGCTTATATAACTATTTCGCATCTTAAAAACAATATTCTTTTCTAGATAAAATTATTTGTAAAATATTAATCATTTATTTTTCTTTCTCTATTAACATAATTAATCAACATTTCTTCATTATAAATCTATGCTTAATAAAAAAAAAACATCCTCATCTTCGGCTGGAAAAAAATGCCTAATTCTCGTCGCATATGCACTCATTTGTATATTTCTATTAATTCTATTTCAACGAATATTTTTCATGCAACCAACTATAAACAAAATAATATTTATAACATACCAAAATGATGAAAATTCAAAACAAATTCTAAATAATAATTGGTTTTTTGGTTCAAATAAAGCTTTGAATTTATCAAGTTATGTATGTGATAAACAGGGACCACAAAATAATCATTCTTCAATTCTTTTTTCTTATTGTTCGAAAGTACCAATTCCAATTAATGGATGGATGCGAGCTCAAAATTATAATGAATCTGACGTAGGTTTTCTTATAATTACATCTTCAACTTTTTATCATACAAGAGCAATAGCTGTTCGAGATACATGGCTTTCTCGAATTACATATAAATATTTTCTTAGTGAAAAACCTTATTCATGGTTACCAGTCACTGTTATTAAAGAAGCAGGTGAAGATAAATTATCTAATATGAAAAAAATTTTTTATGGTTTACAAATTGTTTATAAACAACAACAAAATTCATCATATCCACATAAATGGTATTATATTGCTAGTTGTGATACATTTGTTAATGTTCATCATATACTTAAAAGATTAGATGCATATGATTATACGAAACCATTTTTTATTGGTGGTCATAGTAGTATGACAACATGTCCAGATACTAAAAGTAAAACGCTTACGATTGAATATCCAGGTGATGGTAATGGATTTTTTTTAAGTTCAAAATTAGTTGAACTAATTATGCCTCATTTAACGAATTATATTGAAAATATTTGGCCACGAAATATGAGTCAATGTAATGAATGTTCTGGTGTAGCGTTGACATGTTTAATATATAAATTAGGTATTCAATTAACTAAAATGCCTGGTTTTTGGACTAATAATCCTGATCGTACGCTTTATTTGGATGGTCGAAAAGCATTTCATAAGGATCCAGAACCGAATACATATCATAAAGTTTCACATAATGAAATGTATGATTTAGATGAATTTTATGCATTGCAATATGTTGATCGACTTGTTAATGATAAAAATCGAAAAGAATTAACTGAATATATTCGAAGATTTATTTCAAGTCATTATGATCTTTTAAGCATGAAAAGAAGTGAATGTACATTACCTAAAATAGGTAATCAAACTTCTGTGTCTTAAATTGTGAAAGTATCAGTCTTATCTTATTTAATAAATAAAACAAAAATCAGAATTTATTCAAAAAATAATGTAAAATCAATAGATAACTAGATGGTCGCTCAAAAAGAGAAGATGACTGATTGCACAAGTCTCGAATATGTTAATATATAATCCCATATGATATTTGGTATTTCTAAATCTTAGACTTGTTCGGACAACATTAATAATAAATATTAATTATCCTTGTTAGTCTTGATGAAGATGAAGATAAAAATCTCACTATCATCTTATTTCTCATATTCTTTTTTTTTTCTATCTATTGATTATTATCGTGTCTCTTGTTTGATTGATACAAGTCATGCAACAATTTTTTGTAGGCAATGTACAACATGATTCATTTATTTTTACTAGGTTTCTTCAGTTTACTATATTTCTACAAAACTTTAGAAGTTTTTTCTTGTTATATGATTGAATAGAGTATTGATTACTTTATCAAACGGTAGAGTTTTAATATGAATGATTTCGCATCTTGGTCAACATTTTAATAAATTTTGAAAACTTTTTTTAAAAAAAGGCTTTTGCACGCTCATATTTCAATGAGAGTAAATCCAATTTTGGCAAAAAATGGGTTTTAAGTTTGAAGAAATTCATCGAACTTAACGTTGTAGAAAGTATTAAATAATATCGGTGCTATTCGCATAATTCAAATTTTACCTATAAGATCTCAACTAAATTTACATGAATCGATCGGTAAATCAACTCTGTACCCAACTACATATTAGTGAAAATGATTGAAATGCTTAGTCGACTATAATTTACTCAAGAAAAAAACTATGGAAAATTCTACAAAAATAATTTTTAGAAGCTCACTAAATTTTCAGCTAAGGTAAAGAATAAATTCGATGAAAAAAATACAGTTCGGTAGAGTAATCATCACTCTATACAGCCATATAAAAATAAAAACTTTCTAAAGTTTTGTAGAAATACAGTAAATTGAAGAAAATTAGTAAAAATAAGTGAATCATGCTGTGTATATATATATATATATGTCCTGACTGCTGTCGACTTATTAAAAATGGATGTCAGATATGTCCTCATTACATTCACCGGATCTCAGCAAGCTTCTTTTCCGATTTGAAATGATGCTCAGCAACCGAGGACAAATGACTGACTCCAATCTGTCGAGTTAAAGAAGATTTTACCATAGTAACTAATAGGGTAGACTACAAGCATTGCTGCATTTCATGTAGTTAATCGCCTTAATAAACAAAGATTTTCAACAGTTTCATTTTAAAAATTTAATTTATAATCAAAAAGAAAGTTATTTAGAAAAAAACATTGATTTTATCATGAAAATATTTTAGTATTTTCTTCGAATATGAATATCTATCTTGCATCGGTTTTTTTCTTATTAAAAAATATTATAGTTTATTGTTACAACTAAATATTATAAAATATAATTAAAACGTGTTTCCGTCTTGATTGCTATATATATTTAAGCTGTATAATTAGCTTTTTTTTTTTTTTATTAATATTTTATTTCACAATGAGACAAAAACAACGAGAAGACTACACTGTTATATGCAAAATGTTCAAATCATTTTTGAATATTCATAATTTCGAAAAATAGTTCGATCATTTAATGGTTGTACTGGTCGATAAGCTTTTTGCATTATATTTTGACGAAGTAAATTTAAACTTTCTTCTTTAATTGGAATTTCATGAGAAAATATTGTCCATATAACACCTTCAGTACAAGGTGGTGTTGTTAAACTACCTATATAACGAAAAAATTCTCTATCTTTAACTTGCATAAGACGATTTAAATTAAATATACAAGTTGTTCTATCATGAGTTTTAATTAATTGACTTGCAACATTAGCATATTTTTCCCATTCACTATGTTCATTATTATCTATTGTAAATAGAAATGCAAGTACAACTATTTGTCCATTATCATAATTTTTATGAACAAAATGTGCTTCAGCTGGAAATCGATGTCCATTAATTTCATGTTCAGATCCATGTTTATCATTTCGTCCCCAATGCATATGAAAATTAACAAAATAAAATCTTCCATTTAAATCACTACCAGTAAACCATAATTCATTTGTATTTTGTTCATTAGTACATTTAGCTAATGTTGTAATTATCTGTTGATCATTATTACTCAATATAAATAATTCATCAGAATTATATTTTGAAGAAAATATAAAAGGTGAATAAAATTTAGGAATAGTATCAATTGTATTTATATTAATTGGAGATTGACATAATCCATTAGCAGATGGAAAATGTTTTGACCATTCAGATGGATTATCATAGCTCCAATATTTATTCGATTTTTCTGTACAAGACATTTTTATAAATAATATTTGTTTTGTTTTATAATTGATGAATGCAGCAGTTGTATAAGATGAATTGAATCAATTTTGCTTTATATAACTTATGTCTTTTTCCTTTTTCTTTCTCCTTTATTTTTAGCCTCCGACGACATGTATACAATATTAATAATAAAATAGAAATAGGAAAATAAAAAGAAACTACTTTCTTTTCTTTCCACATTCCTCATCTTGTTTTTTTTTTATCGAGGGGTAATTTGAGAATCGTAATACTATTGGAAAGAAAGAAAATCATTATATAGGATGGTTGCCGTAATATCTTGAAAAATCTCCTTTTTCATCCGTTCATATGTCAAGGTGAAAATTTTCTTCTTTTTTTTTTCTTTTCTATCTTCATATCTAAATGAAATGAAGAGAATAATATTTCATCTGTCATGAGCAAATACATAATTAAATTTATAATCCTATAAGAGAATTCTTAAGGAGCCTTTCACTTTCTTTTGAGTTGATCATGCAACCGAAAAATAAACTCATCATCGAAGAAATTCAGTAAAAATTTATTCATGCTTAACAACCATGAGCATCATCATTATGAGTTTGTCTTATTAAATTAGCGAGAAAAGGATTAAGCATTAAAATAGAAGAAAAGTGACTATAAAATTTTGACTATAGAACGGAATATATGCAGACTTGTTGAGAAAGACTTCCTCTATGTGACGGTGTGCGTATTATCGGTGTTAGCGTTCACGCTCACGAAGAACGACGAACACAGTTAAGATGTATGTGTTTTCTTTTCTCTCCGATTGTTCTTTGAGAAACCAAGCGTTTATATACGCACATGAAAAACAAGAACAAAATAGAAGAGAATACAAAGGTTCATCAAGGCCAGAGAAAAGCAATAGAAACGAAAATATTAAAGAAAAGAGAATAGATAGAACCGAGGTCAATAGGTAGCGTCACCTATAAAATCCTCAAAAATTTTGTAGTCACATTTTATTAATTTTAGTATAGTAGTAATATAAATACGATCTATTCTTGTAAGAATCTCACAATATTAAATCATTAGCAAAATAAAATATTCAAATCTATCTTATAAATAAACGAAGAATTGTTGTATACAACTTTTTCATGTCTATTACAATGACATACAAAAAGTGACAAACTATTTTTAATTTGTCTGAAGTTTAATGAATATTTTAAATTGACGAGAAGATTTCTGACATCTTTAACATTCACTTACAAACACATCAGATATGTTCTTGAAGGAAAATAAATTAGAAATAAGTGTATCATTTTTTAACAACTGATATATATATCATCGAATAACGTCAATAGAATCATTTATTTTACTTCCTAGCTTTTGAAATATTTTTGAATACAATGAAATTGATAATAATTCTAAAATCAAATCTGAAATCAAAAACGAGTCTCCCAATTAAATACACTAGAGAACAACAGATATACACTGCAGTTTTCTATAAGTGATTGAAAAATATTGAACGGCTCGAATGAGTTTTTTCTCGATCGTAATTACAAAGTAAACATCTATTCAATGCGTTTTATAATCACTTTGGATTGAAATATTGATGCGAACTATATAAGTAAAAGTTCTGTTAGACTGTCCAAAAAGGCAATTAGAGACATTTGTTCAATTCGTATTGTGAAAAAACTCGATTTTTCATAATCTTCAATTCACTATCGAATGATTAATTAAAAACAAACTCTTCTTGTATTGAAGATTTTTAGCTTGAGACTTATAGTCATAAATAAAACTATTGAAACGATGCAGTGGTATAGTTTTTGTGAAACACAATCTAAAAGGAGTTTTGAAATACCATATGATACAAAAGTAACTGCCGAAATCTGGACCAACGATGATTCGTTTAGACATATCGTGGAAAGCCTATTCTTTCCCAGTAGAAAAAAGCAAAGTTTGAACTTCAAAAAACATATGAAAAAAAATTTTTGGGATTTACTTTGAGTGAGAAAAAAGTTCGATATCAATATCGTCAAAAGAGCTCTTGCAACGTACTTTTTTCCTTAGAAGTTTTCTGGAGTCTATAGAAAAACTTTATCGACTATTTTACTTTAAAAAATCTCTCAGGCATTCTTTAATAGTAAATAATGCATATTTTACGTCTCAATTTTGATAGAATGCACTGCTTTACATGGCACAGATAGAACATTGAGAAAAATTCATTATTCAAGGCTGAAATATGATAGTAAAGGATAAGACTAATTTGAGTTCATATAGAATTGTATACTGTTTCAGAATATAAGTTTTAGAAAAAAAAGAAGGGAAGTTCATTCAGTATCTGTAAACTATTGATTATGTCAGAGGACATATTTTTGAAAATTAATGAAAAAATTTTAAAGCTTCGAGGATCAAAACGTAATTTATCATACAACATTTAAAAGCGTAATAAAAGCACCTCTAGTTTCTATAATTATATAAATTTCAAACGTAATCTGTTATAGAGAAAAAATAGATTTGATACGAGAGAGACGTTTGAAGTTGAAAGATCTTTCTTTGGTGACGTTTGGTATTGAACTTTTTTCTCACTCAAAGTTTATCCGCAAAAACATTGTTTTCTATGGTTCTTTTAAGCTTAGCCTTTGTTCTTGCAATTAGAAAAATAAAATGCTCTCTATGATCTTTTTAAACAGAGAACTATGGGTTGAAATTTCGGCAATTACTTTTGCATTGCCGATTATATAAGGATAGAAATATTAGAAACAATTCATTACAGACATAACAGACATGTTAGCAAAGCTCTCTCCTCGCATCATAGATGGTCACAGACATTGTTGATATACGATTAAAGATCATGTAATTAATAATGTCTCGTTATAATACATGAGCTACTTCCTTATAACATTTCTGAAGGACTAAGGGAATGGTACAGAAATGCGTCGCAAAATAGATGAAATAAAATAATTCTTCTGTAATTAATGAGAACACCTACATTGTGTTTCACATTTTAATCCCACAGGAATTGTGCTAATAACTCTTATTTATTTATTGAAACATTTATATATGTATAAGGAATTTTCAACTTTCTCTGTTGGAAAAAAACGGTCATCATCAACTTGGTATAGTTTGTATTCGTACAAAAATATTCATTTTGTCTAAATCTTTAAATAAAACATTAAACATGTCATTTAATATAAACACAAACATCTTATTAAACATTATAAACTAAAATAAATAGTATTACTTATTATATAAATACCTAAATAAACAAATAAAGATATGCTCCAGGATAATTCCCATTATTTTATTAATGATTATAAATCTCAAGTTAACAAAAAATATTTTTACATTTAAGTCGAAAGCTTCTTATATATATATATAAATACTTGAATGAATCTATACAACTATACTATCGCATCATTTCTATTCTTGTGTTTTATTTATCTGTAATTTTGTTATCGTACAGAAAAAAGTAGAAAAATAGATTTCACTCGAAAAAACAATCAAAACACATCGTTGAGTTTTCAATAATAAAAATAATTTTGATAATCTTTTCAGTTGATCACTAATTCGAGTTTGAATTTTATATAATATGTTTGTTGTATTTAATTATTAACCTTACTTACATATATTTCAAGGCCAGATGAGAGACATTCAATCTTGTGATCATTACTAATCGTTGTTTCATTTTCAGAAAAAACAAGTACAGTAAAGCCTCCTATAGTAGACACCTCCTGTTAGTGGATGTTTCGCGGTTCGATGCAGCGATTTTTGTTGGAATTAAATCTCTGTATAGTGGACACTAATTATGAATTCAAAGAGAATGCTACGATGACTATTGTTAATCATTTAACATAATGACTCTTCTTTATTGATCGGATAGTAGAATCATAAAAACAGAGCTACATCTTAGTGGTAGAGAAAGAACACATCCTTTGGGTTGAATACACGAGACGGGTATATATATAATCGAACCGAAACATTTGTGGCATTTTGCTACCATTATTAAGAAAAAGAGATCATTATGTCTAGTCGACAAGTGTTGATTCTGGAAGAAAAGATTGCACTAATTAAAGACAATCAAAATGGCCATGGTTTGTCAAATTGATCTTTTTTGCGTCTACTTAACAGTTTCATGTACACACTCTCATCTCTGATCTTGAATCACAATATGCTGACATTTATCTGCATTCGAAAGTGGCGAAATTAAGTTCTATCAAAGATTATTTTGATAATTGTTGATTTTTCTATTTTCAAAAATAAAATACATAAATAAAAAAGAAATAACATGTTCTATCCGATTATCTTATTCACTAATACTCCAGATATCTACCCAGGTCGATCATTCTGACCATCTGAAACACCGTCTTAAACTACCTAAAACACTGGAAAAATGACGTGATTACTACCCTAAACAATGAAAGACGACCATCACTTTTCACCGTTTTCCGTCAGCTCGGATTACGAGCCATTTTTCTTCGAAACGTAAACGACGCCGTTTAGGGTCGGTTTCGGCGAGCAACGATGTGTAGTATTATGGCAGCATTCTCGCCGTATAGTGTCTTATTTACACCAGCTTTTCTCGTTTACAACTTTATTTATTGTTTGCCATCTGTCCTTAGTGAAGAGGAGCACGATATTTCGTCGTTCCTCACCTTCCGTAAATATTAGAACCAACATTTATTTGTTTAAATAAAATACTTCATAATGCATATTTCATTGAGATAAATCTAAATAAAAAAAAGAAATAAATATATTTTTTTTTAAATAAAATATTTACTGTTAAATAATTCAATTCGAGAAATCTAAATGAACAAAAAATACTTATTTAAACAAAATACTTACTATTGAATATATCAGTGAGATCAAACTAAATACAAAATAAATTTAGTTACTTAAATAAAATACTTACTGTTAAATACTTAATTAAGATAAATCTAAACAAAAAATAAATAAATATATTTACTTAAATAGAATACTTACCGTTGAATATTTTTTTGAAAGAAAACAATAAATGTAAATTTTAAGTCAAAGTTTTGCGGCT